GGGTATTCAATTAGGCACGTGTCTGACATACCATGCTCCAGCTATCGGGGCGTGGGATCTACTACTACAATGCATGGGTCAACCGAGTCTGATGACCTTGAATCGCACGATCATGATCAGCACTTCGGTCTTAGAGGGGGTAAAATTACAACAATCAAATATAGCCACCTCATGGATATCAAACCACGCTTCCATTATCACTATTCAGACACAACAAGTACATCCTTCAGAGAGTCTTCCCCCTCACAGCGCAAGCTCATCCATATCCTCCACCACGCCCCTCCTCATAATCCTCTTCCTCCCCACCCGCCTCTCCTCCCTCGCGGCCTCGACCGCCCTCTCCAGCTCCACCCTCCTATTCTCCCTCTCCCGCCTCTCTTCCTCCTTCCTCTCCTCCTCCCTCCTCCGCCTCTCTGCCAGCACTCGCTCCCTTTCGCGCGCCTCCTCCTCTGCCTCTCTGCTCTTGATCTCTGCTTTCCGCTCCCGAACCTCCCTCTGCACCCTCTCCTCCGCCTCCGTCGGCCTCCCGCTTGCCCGCCGGGCCGCATCCCGCGCCAGCCTCTCCTTCTTCAGCCGCATCCGCGTCTCCCGCGACTGTGGCACCGCCAGGAAGTCCAACCGCGCCATCTTCCCCGTCGGCAGCTCCACGCTCCACGTCCTCCGCGTATCGTTCAACTCCGCCGCCACCCTCCCCGTGTGCAGCTCGACCAGACTCCAGTCCGGCACCTCCGGATCGTACCCCAGGAACCGCTCCCGTACGATCCAGTCCACGTGCACGCAAAAGTTGGTCGTGAAGTCCCGGTGCAGCGCCTTGCACCACTCCGCGCTGCCGAAGCCCTCCGCGCCTAGGTCCACCGCCTGCGCCGCCTGCACGAACACCGTTTCCCGCTGGATCGACTCGCACAGCCTGAGGCTCCGGTTGTCGGGCTCGCCCCATACCCGGTCGTCCTTGTACTTGCCGATCCAGGTCAGCTCGAGCCGCTCGAGCGCAGGGAGCCACCGGCCCAGCGCCGCCAGGTCGGCGGCGTGGTGCCGCACGACTTCGGGTCGAACGGCCAGCGTCCGGAGGCCCTGGCACTGCTTCAGCACGTCCCAGAACTGGTGCCAGCGCGGGATGCCGTTGCCCGGGATCTGCTCGCTCGAGATGAGGTTCCGCGTCGTCCGGAGGTCTTGGTTCTCCTGGTCCGGCGAGGCGATGTGGACGTGCCGCAGCAGCGGTCGGCACGCGGCGCGGAGCCGGGCGCCGACGCAGGTGGTGAAGTCGTCCGAGTAGTCGAAGACAAAGGTGTTGGCGGACCAGAAGACGGGCGCGGCCTCGCGGTAGACCTGGCGGCACGCGAGGAGGAGGTTCAGCGTCGTGCGCTTCGCGCAGCGGCACTGCGTCAACCGGTCCCAGCTGAAGATGTGGATCGGGACCGGCTCGACGGCGACGTCGAGGACGAGGCAGGCGGCGGGCTCGATGGAGGTGGCGGTGTGGTTGTGGCGGAAGTGGCAGTTGTCGTCGTGGGTGCGTGAGTGTTTTGGCGGAGCGACGAGGGCTTGGTGGTAGATTTGGTTGCGCAGCTCGAGCGGTAGACCGAGGAGGCGTTTACTCGAGGGCGGGTGTTGGTGAGGGGGCAGGGGGATTGTGAGAGTGAGGTTTGTCATTGTTGATGTTGAAGTCGGCGTCTTCGGCGTTGTCATTGTCGTCGTCTTGAGAATTTGGTGTTCGATGCGATGGGTGTGGATGCAGCGTGGTAGGCGAAAAGCACAAGGCCAAAACGTTAATAAGGCATCAACAGTGCAACAAAAACAGGGGGGGAAGGAGCGACTCTATCGGGGGAAATGGGTCAAATAAGGCGATTGAAGTCAAGACTTTCAGGCAACCAATACGGCTCATCACAGCTTTTTATAAGTGTATTTGGCTGTGTCTGTGTGTGTGTGTGTGTGTGTGTGTGTGCTGGTTGCAGGCTACCGCTGTAAGCCTCGTTCGAACGGGTGGAGGAGGTAGCCGCCGAGTGAGTCACTGGGACCCAATCAAGGCAAAAAGGCAGGATACGTTTAGAATGGACTGGTCAGCCTTGAAAGGCACGGGCAGGCATTTTTACTGCGGCTCTGGCCATCTTGGTTGGAGAAAGCGGTGCAGGTTGGAGACCTATTAATGAGGCGGTGCTCCTGATAGCTCCGCCGAAGACGGCTTGCTGCGGACGGAGGGCGGGACGACGGGCTGGGGCTGGGGTGGTGCAGCGTCCGATGTCAGCCTGCATGGCCATGTTCTACGTGTCAAGGATACATGCTCCTGCAAAGGGAATAAGATATTCGTCAAATGAATGAACTGAATTAGGCTTGCTACGCAACCTTCTGCTGATACCTAGTTTAAGGGAAGGAGGTCGTGACGGGTCGTGTCAATCGGTCAAATCCAAATGCAGAGAAAGCCGTCGCTTGTATGTTGCCCCTACGCCGAAACTCCATTCATAAAAAAAAAAAAAAATTGCCGTGAATTCATCCTCACGCGACCAATGTTTAATCTAACCCTGGGCAATAGTGTCGCGGATGATCTTGTTGCAGTCAACCGGGTTCTCGAACACAAACCAATCGTCGCGGGGGATGTGCTTGAAGGCCTTCTCGAAGCGCTCCGGCTCGTTCTTGGCCGAGATACCGATGGCCGCGATGTCGACGACCTTGCGGATAAGAATGAGCTTCACCCAGCCCTTGAATTCGCGGTAGCTGGAAAGCCGTCAGCGGGCGTAAAACACAACCGGCACTCTCTCAAAGACACTTACATGTCGCCGTAGGCCTCGGGGTCAGACTGCGTCGAGTCGCCGATGAGGATGAACTTCCGCTTGGGCAGCCAGCTGTGCACCTTTCTCATGCGTTCCACCTTGTACTGCTCCGTGGCCATGGTCAGGGCCGACAGCAGGCCTGCAACCGTCTTCCAGCTCGAGTCGCGAAGGATGATGGTCCCTGGGGGGTAGTACTTGTCGCGGAACTCGCGCAAAAACGGGTACAGGTTGTAAGGGGAGGCCGAGAGGTAGAACCACGGCGACTCCTGCGGCAGAAGCGCCTTGATGTTCCTGTAGAGCTCAGGCATGCCCTCGATGGGCGTCGGCTCGTTAACGAACGTCTCGCGGAGGATGCCCACGGGGTCGCTCGTCTGCGTCAGCTTAATTGTGTCGTCGACGTCTACGCCAAGACCACTCGGTTAGCTACGAACGCTCCGCCGAACCTCACTTGAACCCCACGTACCTGAGATGATGGCCCATCCCTCTGGCGCAGCGAAGAAGGTCTTCATCTCCAGCAGGCCCGTCGCCCCGCGCGGCACAGCGGCGCTCGACGTCACCACCGTGCCAGAAGGCTGGTCGCTGACCTTGAGCATGTCGGTGCTGATTCCGTTGGTCGCCGAGGGACCCAGCTTGAGCTCCTTCTTCTGTTGCACGACGCGGAGTATTCGCGAGGGCTGCACATCCCAAAGGAATGGCAGCAGCCTCTCCTCTATCGTCTTCAGCTCCTCGGCGTCGTCGGCGAGACCCAGCTTCTGGGCAACGCCCTGCACGATATCAACAATGGCGCACTTGGGTTCCTTCTCGAAGATGGCGGCGACAAACTCGGCCTGCCAGCTGCCAATGCGCGATGGTTTAAAGGCCGTGTTATCGAGGAGCCAAACAATGTCGTCTTCGGTGACTGGTCTTCCCCAGGGGTTATAGCTGCCGAGGTGCGAGAGCAGGCCGCTGGCTGTCATGAAGGCCGACTGCAGAGTCGGGACCTTGGGGTTGGGGAGCTGGGCCTCGAACTCGTCGAAGCCACGTTCTTTGCGCGTTCGTTTCTGCATCTCGTCGGCGTACGCGGCGGCAGTCTTGCTATCGTCTTGCCCGGTCATGTTTACGGTTTGCGCGTGGCCTCGGCGTATTTATGTGGCTGTCTCGTCTCCGGTTTGTGTCTATTGCCTCCCGACAAAGGCCTGGCGGTCACTTGGATCGGTTTTATGGGCAACGTGACTTGGGCACGGTACTACTCGTGCCTTGGCGGCGACTTGGTTGGTAGGCTGACGGCTCGAGGCCGGAAGGCAGATGTCTCTGAAGAGGAACTGTTCTTTTGGCCGACTGGAGGATCTTGCGGGGTAGGATGGTGTATCCCGTAGGCTGTAATGAATAGGGAACAAGTTGTGGTGTAGCTAATGTGTCTCGGCTGGAAGATAAGGAGGAAAATAGAATGTCTGTGTTGGGGACAGCAAGCAGCTGGAGGAGCTACCTATGTGACGAGCGAGTCAACAATTGTAGCAAGTAGACGGACAAATACGGTCACTGGTTATTGGTTGTCGGGCGGTATACACTACGCCAGTCACCTTGGCTCACCCAGTCCAGCTCCCAATGCCAGCGCCGGCGCCAAAGCAAAACCACCGATGCATTATGTCAGAGCTAGCCGGGTTGCGCTGCATCGTCTGTGTGAAAGATGGGAGGAAGGCGGCTGTGACATGGTTTAGATCGGCGTGCGGCGAGCTGTGATAGGACGGTTCCACCAGATGGTCGCTGGCTACGGGCAAACCCAGTCGCAGATGGTCTTGGCTGGAAACGCATCCCCCCTAAATATCCTGTTCCTTGTGACCGCCGTACCACAAGTGACCCGGACAATGACGATGGTGACATATGTTGCAGGCGAAGGTGTGTCGGAGGCGTAGGAGAGGTGGAGGCATTGAATGATGCGGGCGAGTGGGGAGGATGGAAATGAGTGCTGACGGGGTGGCAGGGAAGGATGATGGAGAACGGGAGGCATCCGGGGCCCACATAACACATTCAGCCAGTCAGTGAACAGATACAAAAACGCCCCCTGATCTCACGTGGTGGCGTCACTTGGTCGCAGTCAGCCACCATCAATCACGTGGCTTCTTTGTGTGAGCAACCGCCGCATGGAAGTAAAAAAAGAAAAGAAAAAAGGAGAGAGAGGGGGGGAAAGGAAAAGAAAGTGACGATAACATTGGGCCATTACTAGCTAGTAAGTAGCACAGGCAAAAGTGACAAAAGAAGTGTCCCTGGCAAGGCTCGAACTTGCGACCTTTGGATGTCCCTGGCTTAATGCCTGAGTCATATTAAGGGTAATATGAGACCAACGCTCTACCGACTGAGCCACAGAGACTAAAGAGGCCATCAAGGCTATCTCTTGTGGCTTGAATCGCAACAGCATAGTTCATATACTTTATGCATCAATATGATGCATCGTCTCAAGGCACTTGATAATAAAAACAATGACAACCCTTGCCTATCACCACCCGTTGGCATCCTCATGTTAGCATTTTTGTGACTTTTAGTCGGCTTGGTTGTCTAAGAATCGAGATTTCAACAAATCGCTGTGAAAATAAATGTTTTGGTGTGGCTTGTGTAGCTCTATCGTTCTGATAGTTAACAGAATGGGTACGATGAGTCTCCTCGTAGCACCTAATGACGGGACGTTCAAGGAGGTTGTCCGAGATGACAATTTAATGGCTGTATGCCTCGGAACCGCACGGCTCTCTGATTGGGAAGTGATGGGGCAAATGAATAGGATGACCTGGCCGCTTCTTTTTGCACGTATCACTGTTGGTCGTCGCTGCGCTAATCCATCGCCTCACTAATACATTAATATATCATCTGAACTCCCTGGCTTCCTGCTTTTATTTGACTATGAAGATCATGCAGTTGTGACATGAAAGCCTCTAGTTAGTCCAGGCAACAACCACCTTTTCGGCCCTTGCGCCATCCTCCAAGATAGCGCTCTTCCTATCATCGCCTCTGGGGACGAAATCCACCTCAAAGGGTGCGGTTTCCAGCACCAGCCCATCGTGAAACCCAGTCTTGATACTGGTATCCAGGTAACCCTTGGAGACGACGTTAAACTCCCACGCCAGCTTCGCGATAGTGACCATGATTTGGTTCTCTGCGTAGTCGAAACCGGGACACATGCGCCGGCCGGCACCAAAGCTGTACGTCGGGCGGCGCTTCTGCGCCTCGGCGGCATCTCGCATCGAAGGCTTGACACCCCACTCGTTCTCCAAGTATCGCTCGGGTCTGTACTCTTCGGGATCGTCATACCACTCGTCGTCCATGTGGATGGACCACGTGCTTAGCAAGAAGGTGGTGCCTTTGGGCAACTTGAAGCCGCAGTAGGTATCGTCTCGAGTAAGCACCCTCGGGATCCCGGTTGGGACGGCGGGCCGCCAGCGCATGACCTACAAGTGTCAATGTCTATCCCTTAATGCCGTGAACATGAACGCGACATTGCTTACCTCCATCAAGCAAGCGTACAAATACTTCGCTTTGTGCAGATCTTCTGGTCCAGGAACTCTGCCCTGCCAAATCGAATCAACCTCGGCTTGTACTCGCTTTTGCACTTCGGGGTATACCCCCATGATCAGAATCATGTTCTTGACTGTAGCATAGACGGTATCAACGGCAGCATCTACAGACGCAGAACCCAACGCGGCAAGCTCATGGTCCCGAAATTTCAAGTCCTTGGAGTCTTCCATAAGGAGCTGCGTCATGAGGGACCTGTTCTCGGTGCTCTTCGTCCCTTGGCTGATATTGGCGTGTTGGGTCTTGGCACCATCGAGCATGTAGTACATGATGTTCATCGTGGCTGACCGAACAGAGGCTGCCTCTCTTTTCCACCTCGCAAGGAACGCGGGAATGTACTTCATGGCGGGGAAAATGTCAACGGGAGGTGCTCGAGCGGGCGTGACCAACTTGAGCCAGGTTTTCTGCGTCTCGAACCAGTACTTCGTCGAGCCGACTCCGCTCTCGGCTACGCCCTGCCCGCCGATGATGGAACGAGGCGTGGCCAGTGCCCAGCGCCGCAGATGTTCCTGGAAGTTACCTGGGTTGTGAAGAATATCCCGCATCAGAAGCGCCGCCTGCGCCGCCTGCACCGTGAGAACTCGCCGCAGGTCGGCGGGCCCGAACAAATGGCGCAAAGCAGCCCGCGTCTTCTTGATCCTGTGGTCGTTGTTCATGAAGAGGAGGTTGTCCGGATTGACGAGCTGGGAGGTGATGTAAGGCTGCTGACGGTCCGAGTACAGGGCGCCGCGTTTCTCGTAGAGCTCCCGCACGTGTTCTGCGCTCGAGAGGACGACGTAGTTGTTCGCCCCGAGCTTGAGGCCCATGATTTTGCCATACGTCTTTGCCCACTCTCGAAACTTGAGGAAGGCTTTCTCGGGCGGAAGCTGTAGCGCGTTACCCACGACCAATACGGGTGGAGGACCCGGCGGGAAGTCGTTTGGTCTTCTAGTGGAGAGAACCCAAATTGCAAAGAAGTAAACCGCTGCCGCTGCCGCTGCCGCCACGGTGCCAGCAGCGACAGCCAGCAGACCTGGATGCCACATGAGCGAGACGAGCTGCATTGCGTCTTACAGTTTTCGTAAAAGCGTAATACATTCGAAAATAACAGAAGAGGAAAAGTCCATCAAAGGGAAAAGTCTTGTTTGAATAGTTAACCGGGCCGTAACCCCATATCTTTCTTCGTTACTTGTTCCCCTCACGACGAGAGTTCTTCAGTCTGTGGCTATCCGCCTCTGATGCAGCTTATCGTACGAAATGGTATGTCAACTGCAGCTCTTTGCAGAGGCGAGCGAACCTAACTGGACATGTTTGAGTTCCCCGCCCAATGTGAGGGTGTGGGACGGCTTGTCCGACGTTGCAACTTACAGCAGGCTGCTGGGTACGATTGCGTCTGCCGTGTATATGACGAGGTATCCCGGACGGATTAGGCGAAATAATGAGAAAATCAGATCGACGATATTCATGTGATGGCGGCCCAGACACATGCAGTCTGCAGGAAAGACGACTCTGCAAGGGTATTCATTGGGCTGATATGCACTGGGGCTCCAATTGTGGCACACCGAGTAACTCATGTAGGCCGGTCTGCCTAACCATGCAGCCTTTTCAACAAACCAGATTGGGCGGTTGAGAACTACCATGTAAAAACTATCGAAATTTGCATTCTGCCTGAACAAGGGAGGAGGACTTGATGTTTGGCATTCTTGCCACGGCCACCCAGTGTGCCACCAAGCTGGCCAGAATACGACGTGTTGCACAAGATGAAGGGGCTCAGTATAAACCCGGAAGGGGTTCAGACAATATCTTGAACAGAGATGAGATCAAATTTGTTTGATCTATGAGGTACTTCAATATCAACATCGGCGCGGAAAGATGTCAAAACACACTGCGGCGTCTGGGAAAGAATGGTCGATAGAGGCTAAACAACAAAATGATATGGTTCAATGCGATGCCAGATGTCGGTTTCTGCAAACGTTAATCAGGCCAGGTAATGCACATATATCCCAAAAATTAAAGGGCATCATGTTGGCCTCTACATCATTGCGAATAAGAAGTGATGACTGCCATATAAGCTATCCTGTCCTCCTTTTGAAGCGGAGCAGATCTATAATTTCCTAGCCAATTGTGAACCTATTTTCTTCTATCGGCGCTTCATCATGAATTCGACCGCTATCGACTCTTTCGGAGGACTTTACAACAGATACAGCATAAGGTAATAACCAAACTGCCACGTAGCTTGTTGCTCCATCCATGACTTTTGCGAGGGTGCACCAAGAACACGAAGTTGTCACTATGTTCAGATAGATAATTACATCTAAAATACCCTTGAAACTGTTGCATCCTGCTTATTATGTATATAAAACGTTGTATCATCATGCACATGTAACAGCCCATGTGCAAAGACTGACACCCTTAGGGGTCATGGTTATGGGGGAACGAGCGTGCACTCTGTTAGGACGCTGAAAACTAATAGTTAAACAGATATACTCGTTTTCGGCATACTCTAAAGAACTAATTTCTCAGCTCAGCCGATCACTGTTAATCTTAAGGCGGGTCGTTTTGAGTAATGAGAAATTCACACGTAAACAAAAAAGGGCACACAGGTTCTTAGTCAAAGCATTCTACTTAGTACATTGCCTAATGATAGTAATAATAGTAGTGATGTATATTTTCCAATCATCATAGGAAGCAAGGATATTTCTTATAAGAGTTTCGAATTTATAATATAGCACAGCCAGTTATTGCCTCCACCATTCCAGTTCCAAACAAAGTTCACTATAGCTGTTTCATGGATATTGACTTGGACTCAAACTTCTGAATTTCTTTGAGGACACATTGAGTCGATCGAGCTGAATAGGTCTTATAGGCTGACTGTTTGTACTATTCATAGCCTATATTGGCAAACTATTGTAATCTATGTGATATGTTGCTCACTCAAACATATCCGCAGATCGTGTGGAGGTCAAACTTTATCACATCCCAATCGGTTTAACCATATCGATAAATAATCGACATTCCTTGGATATCGTCAATCGCTGGCGTGCGATGAAACCGTTAACGGGCCGAATTTGGCGATCTACGTTAAGTGTGACCTGGTACCAGTATATGAAATCAAGCACATGTTTCGCAACCATGAGCATAGAGAACCAAGGTCCAATACCTGCTGATCTCTTACAGTACTTCAGGGCTATGGGTGTCTATATCAAATTTGCGCTGCTACCTTCAAATTCCCCGACCGTTAAACGTCAAAGGCACCCTACTATCGAGGGTTGCAATCCCTGTGATTGCGGTTAAACCTGCAGGCCATGACACCACAGGGTGGTAACGGCCTCAGTACTATTTCAAGGAGCCACATCGTACGTTTATAATGCGTATAAGTATGGTGATATACCCTCCACGAAACGCGCTCGACGACCGGACCACATTGTGTGCTGGTTCGAAACGTCCCAGAGCATTGACATCACAATGTCACTCAGCCAAGAGGTGGCCACCCACGTTTCCCTTCCTTTGCACGAGCTCTCTGTCTAATCCCATAAGAAGGAGCTGTTCGGCTTATCCCAAAGGATACTGGTCGCCGGGCCGCTAGTTGGCAGCGGGCTCTGAAACGCGAGCCTCGTGGGTCCTCGTCCGACAAGTGACCGACCTGCGGAGTCCTTCTTCCTCAGCCGATTGCAACGGCTCTTCTCTTCCCTTTCCGGATGATGCAATGCCATGTGGTCCTCCCCATGCACGCCGTGGGGCGGCGACGACGCGGCTTCAGGCCTGGTTTCTCTCACCGTCTGATCTTCGGCAAGCGGCGAAGTCGTTGCATTCCAGTTCTCCAGCATG